TGATTCATTAAATGATTTAACACTGCTGCCCTCTAGTGGTTAAATCGTGTAATGTTTATGATTCATTAAATGATGTAACACTGCTGCCCTCTAGTGGTTAAATCATATAATGTTTATGATTTATTAAATGATGTAACACTGATGTAACACTGCTCCGGTCTGTTTTGCTCATCCTGCCTCGCTCTGTTCTGTTCTTTAATGTAACGTTACTGGAGCGACAGAGACTCTCCCAACTGTTAGCAGACTGTTGTGCTAGCAAGCAGGCTCGCTCGCGAGCTGTACCCAGCATGCAGCTCGGCGGTGAAATTTTATAAATGTATAATTATTAGTGTTACAAATTGTTTATGTGTCACAGACTGTTGTGTGTTGTTAATTGTTGTTATAAAGTTATGACCATGACTAGGGTTCCCTCTCAATACATAAGACAACTAGCGCTGACCGCTGGACTTAAGCAGCAAAGAATACGTTTAGCTGCCTGTTGAAAGCAGACAGCAGTTGTTTTGGCTATGCACCGGTATAATGGTGTGTGAAAAATTAATATTATACGGGAAATTAAAACCGGTATACTGCCGAACTCTAGTCTTTATTATAGTTTGGACAATTTTGTACCAATATTTGACGGGTCGGATTAAAAAGCCCAACGGCCGTAGTTTGCCCATGCCTGGGCTAGCGGCTAGCTGAGTGTCTTCTTCTGCTTATTGTAGCTTGTTAAACAACTGACTGACGCATTACTGCCACCAGGTGGTGGGAAGCTATATTGTAACTGAGCGTCTCATGGAGAACAGTAATATCTCTGGTGTCTTCGATTGATAACCTATGCGGCCCTAGCGGCCCACAGGTGCAAAACTGAAAGTTTGTTGCGCCCTCTAGGTGGCGTTCGCGGCCCCATGGTTAAGAATCACTGCTCTAGCTCTTAACGAGCTGCGCAATACACACCAATTATAAAATCTGAAACAGACAAAATTTTCCTGAAACTTAATCTGTGACTTCATGAAAACTGTGATAGCTATCAAAATGTCCCTTTGGCTCAATAAAGTGCAGCGTTTTGTCTACGTTTTAAACTTTGAATCATGTTTCTACGTTAATGTACGGCTAGTCAATATGGGCCCAAAGTTAAGTGTTTTTTTAGCTCTCTTCACGCCGGAACCCATTCAAGTGAATGGAGAAGTTTTGCTCAGTTTTTGGGGATTTTCGGGAATTTTCGGGAAAACCGTTTGGCGAATCCTCCGAAAAATAGATAGCACACTATTCCTGATCAGGCCGCACATTTTGATGTATTTTTCACGCCGCTGTTGGCAACGTTGTGTGAGGAGAATCTCGCCAAACTTCATTTTGCTCTGTTTTTCGGGGTTTTCCGGGATTTTCGGGAAAACCGCTGGGCGAATCTCTCCGAAAAATAGTTTCCGCACTATTCCCGATCAGGCCGCACGTTTTGATGTATTTTTCACACCGCTGTTGGCAACGCTGTGTGAGGAGAGGCGTGCCAAACTTTTGGATAAAGCTGATTATTATTAGTATGATTAAGCCCGATGGATAATATACAGTGTGCTTTGGCAAAGCCACACTGAATAAACTATACAAATTGTCAATATTTGTGTTTTTGAAATATGGAATCACCCAGTAATATGTGTAAAATATGATATTGCAGTAAATATATGCTTTTCCTGCACGTCCTCTCCGTGTGTGCACGTCTCATATTCCTCGATTCCGGTGTGCATGTCTCATATTAATTAACGCTTATTTCAAGGACCTTAATACATTGTATTTTAAATAACATTCAACCCTCTTGCCTGACCCCTCCAGGTACTGAAAACACGGAGCTCCAGACCTTCGCCCTGGCCGTCTGCCTCGGCTACTTCTTCTTCGATCTGGGCTGGTGCGTGCGCCACCACACCGAGGGTCCCGTCATGCTGGCCCACCACGCCGCCAGCATCGTGGGCATCCTGCTGGCTCTGCTCATGGGGGTGTCGGGCTGCGAGACCTGCGGCGTCATCTTCGGCAGCGAGATCACCAACCCGCTGCTGCAGACCCGCTGGTTCCTGCGGCGGCTGGGCCTCTACGACGGCCTGCTGGGCGACGCCGTGGACCTGCTCTTCATCTCGCTGTTCGCCACCGTGCGCGTGGGAGTCGGCACGGTCATGTTTTACTGCGAGCTCACGTCCCCCAGAACCAGGCTGGTAATGAAGCTTGGCGGCGTGGCCATGTACGGACTGGCCTGGGTGTTCATGGTGGACATAGCCAGGTTTGGCTACAAGAAAAGTAGGGCCAAGTACAAAAGGTGGCGGGAAAACCCCCAGCTCAAAGACAGCAATGCACAAAAATTGGATGGACAAGAGTGACCGAAGAAAAAATAAAGTTAAACTATATTATGAACATCTTACATTTGGGTGGAACACATTTGATCTGGATCTGATTTATCTACTAAGACTAGTAATCCAACGTATAGAGACTGGTACCAGTAGGTGGCGCTATGACTATGATTCAAAGTTTATTTGCCGACTTCGCCGAGCTACTACGTCGCTACTGTGCTTTTTCCTTTTGTCAATTGCCTTCGTTTGTCGGTAAACGTTTGTTGAAAATCATTTCCACCATTTATGGTTTCAAGGCATAAAAAGTGGGAATAAAAAAAGTATGTTTGGCTGCTTATGAGCACCAGAAACTGTTAAATATACTGAGCCGCTACGTCGCCGCCCTTCAACGAATTCTTCCAATCTTCCCAACGAAGCATCATCAACGTCTTTAGGCTTTTCTGAGAACACTGAATGTTGGCGTCAAGATAAATTTAGGACTTTTCAAGACATTTTTAACACCAAAATCTAATTTTATGTCTTTAACGATCATACCGGCAAAAGTATGAAAGTAAGATGGAGAAGTAATTGTTAAGTATTTTCCAGCATTATATAACTATATTTTATATTGTGGCATGAAATGGGTGGATTGATTAACCGAGTTTTTGCTAAAAGCAACTAGTGACGGTGTGTGACTGAAACTCAGCACAGTTTACTGATGAAACAATCCCACTTTTAGCTAATTAATGGGACTTTTCAAACCTTTTTTGTGGACACTTGACCATGCAGATACCAGAGTTGATTGTTCCTTTAATGCGACTCAGGTTTTAAGATTAATAAAATGACGTCATCATCCAACCCCAACATGAGACCAACTAAAAATGAAATGACACCTTTTCTCTCCCTTCAGATCAGCTTTAAATCTCCTCGCTAAAAGGAGATATTTGTGTTCTCAACAAACTTGTTAATAACAGGGTTAATAGCAATGTAATAAAGACATTACATTTTGAATAGAACAGATTAATGCTGCATGGATACTTTACCCTCTTTTTAAGTAGTTTGTGTGAAAAATGTACGTGATTGCATGGTGTAAAAAAAGAAGAAAAAAAACGACACACAAAAGCTTTTGATATTCAGAATTGTACATTATATTCCTTTACATGGAAAACAGCCCATAACAATATATTTTTGTCTATATATTCTTTTTAGGGTTTTTTATTTTTCTTATTCATGTTTTTCGACCAAAAATGAAAACCGTAATGTCGTCCGTGCCGTCTGGTGGCCAGTGAATATTTGAGTCTTTTCGGTCCAACCATTAAAGTGAAGTGCAGAGGTTTGACGGGTGAATCTTTGTACCTAAAAGAGGATAACAGGCTGAAGAGTGTGTTTACAGAAAAGCCTCCTCAAAATATTTCAGGGGAATCAAAATTAAAGCAGTTTTTAGTGTTTGATGACAATCAAAAGAAAAAGTCTTGGAGACGAACTAAGAATAAATTCTACAATATAGTTCAATCCAATAAATTCACATGTGCACAGACTGAGGGTCTTTCAGTATCTATTACATGTGCTCCAGGAAAAACACCAACAGTGACACAGTAATTGTTGTTTATAGCTGCAGTTCTACCAATTGAGGACTTCAGCAAAATTTTGCTGAAGATTACAGTGTGTTTTCTATCTGCATTCATGATAAAACAGACAGGAAATAAAGTAGTAAATACTTTCTTTCTGCTCTCGATCTGCATGGAGCCAAACAACGTGGATTATTTAAAACGCAGACATGTCGAGGAGTTTCTGTTTCTGGTTTGTTTACAGCTCGTTATGAACAGGCAGTGATCTGGATCTATGTTTGCTATGTTACGCTACATTCATTTAAAATCTGGGAATCAACCAGCGTTTGATGCTCTTTGTTCAGGCATTCAAACCAAGAGGACAACCAGTAAACAAACAAAAAGGATTTGTGACCAGTCCCCAAATAAATGATGTTCAGTGTATCAACATGGACAATAAATGAGATTTTATAAGCACAAGCCTCTCATAACTATTTTTAAATGGTATAATCAGGGGTCGCTTAGCTTAGCACAAAGACTGGAAGTAGAGGGAAACAGCTAGCCTGTTAAAGTTACACCGACAAACAACTCTAAAGCTCTCGATTGAGAATAACATGTACAGAAACATACAACCCAGTTACATGCTTGAACAATAGTACGGGTTTCCATACACGATCCGTGAGCAAAAGTTTCTGCACCAAACTTGGCAACTTCAAGATTCTTGAAAGTCATTGTTGGTCAAAAAATAAATAAAAAAACAGCTATTACCAGCTATCAAATCCCCTTAAAAGTAATTTTCACACTTCAGTTTGTGTTCGGGTTAAACAAACATGATACGACATGTTAATCACTGAACTTTAGAGGTGGTAGGTTGTTGTTGTTCTTTTTCCACATAGGCCAGCTCCAGTTTTATGCTAAGCTAGGATAAAGACTTCCACAGACATTTGGGGATGGAGTGAATGTTGCAGAATTTAAAAACATAATCAGTGTAGTGAGAGGGCATTTTGGCATTAAACGGTTGCTCTTCAAGGCTTTCACAATATAAGTAAATCTATATTTAAGCACGTTCATCTATGTGGCGTGTTGGACTGAATATGTACAGTGGAGGTTGTCTCCTTGTGTCTCATTGCAGACGTTTACATCAAGCTTACAGCAGTGAGTCCTGAACGAGATCCTCAGAGAATCATTCACGTCTCTTTTAATGTCTCTTAATCTGTGCTGTTCATACGTGTGACTTCACACATGCTTCTTTTCATTTCATATCTCCAGTGTTTTAAGATAATTTATGCAGTTGATTAATAATATATAATATAAAAAAAGAGTCTCTCCTCTTTATAGTGAAACATTCCTAATAATGATGATAACTTCTTCCATTGACACATTCCTGAAGTTCTCCATTTTTGGGGCGACATCAGCGTTAAATCGTCAAAGATTTCGTCCGGAAGAAAGTGATCGTGTGGCACGAAATTCGAGAGAGAAGGAAGTCTGTCGTCACTGAATCCCATCTGAAAAAATCACAAACAAAAGTGTTGTGAGATTCACTGTGAATGTACAAAAAGATGGATGTCAAGAGGATGAAAAATCAATGAGTGAAAACACACCATTGTTGTCATCGGAGTCAGTAGCTGTGTCACTGTGCGTCTGTCGCAGCTCGTTGTACTTCATCTCCACTTCCTGGAAACACATCATCACAACTAAAACAACTGAAACGAGGCAAAATGTTCAAAAGATGAGAGGGAAAAAGCAGAGAGACTTCACACATCCCCTCGGGATGTCTGCTTGTGAACACATCTCTGCTGCTTTGGGTCTCTCAATCAAAACAATAACAACAGACAGTCTTTGCTGACATTGTCAGGAGCATGCTCGGTACCTTCAGATACTGCAGGTCGGCCTGTAGGAGGCGCAGGTGGGTCATAAGCTGCCGGCTGAGGTTGGGGCCGTCGCCCCCTGCCTGCGAGGAGGAGGATAGCAGTTTCCTCATGTCGATCCCCACGTCGCCTCCGACTCCCCCATCGTCGCTGCTCTCCTCGGAGCCACCGCTGAAATCCAGAACCACGAAACCACCTGAGTGGAGAAGCAGAGCGAGTGGAAACATATGTTTATTAGAAACAAAACTGTGAAAAGGAAAAGGTATCCCTTTGAGGCGAAGATTTAGATTGGTACCAAGCTCTCATATCTGTCGGGCAACAGCTGGTTAGCTTAGCTTAGCACAAAGGCTTGAAACAGGAGGAAACAGCTAGCCTGGCTCCGTCTCCGACCAGCCTCTAAAACTTCTTCTTACCGACGGCCCTTGAACACATCATGTGCGACGAACGCTTCAATCAGAAAAAGCAGCCGAAACGAAGTGTAAAATTGTTTAAAAACATTGTATTCTACATGTCTCATTTAAAATCTCGCCCCAAATAAACCGTTTGCTTGAACCAGATCCTGTAAAGAACATTAATTCTGAGCTCCTCAGCGCAACTATGAAGCCATGATTAATTTACAGTCACGTAAACAAAAATAATCAAAGAAGTACAACATGTATGGCATGGTAACTGTGTTATACTGCACAAAAGACATGTTTTGAGTCCTCTCTTCTAGCCATGATTGTTCTGTTTCCATAGAGGTGCAGGACTTTTTCATTGCTGTCAAAAACTACGCCACAGAGGAGAAAATGTGACACGAGCAAAAGAAACGCCCCAAAAACTGCTTTGGGTCCAGAGGGCGTGGTACCAACACCGAAAGTGAAAAGGCGTAACTCCAGATTTGTGGAAACTATTCCTTTAGTCCTTCAGTATAAAGGGGAAAAGACTCACCGTTGCCTTCAGGCGTCTCAGACAGCTCTGTGAGTCCTGCAGGGAGCTGAGGGTCGTCTTTCTGTGTACTAGCAGACGCTCGGCTCTCAGAGGGCCCCTCGGGGCTCCCGGGCAGCTGACACCTGGGGGCCACAATCTCCTCTTTCTCCTCCTCTGCCTCTCTGCTTATCATGTGGCTGAAAAGAGCCTGCTTCAGCATCGCCACTAGGACACACAAAAAAAGTGCATATCATCTCATAATCCTTTACTTTCTACTGGAGGTAAGTTGTATGTTTTGTTATTTGGGTGAACTGACCCTTTACTATGTTGTAACTTACATGTCCTGAGAGCCTCTTCGCCTTTAGAGGAGGCTGTGCCGAATGCGTCGTGCTCTTGGTTTTCATCGGCGATGCCCGGACGTGACACTTCCTGCAGGAACGGCAGTCCGTCTGCCAGCTGCCCGTCCAGGAAGGCCTCTAGCTCTGCTTCGTCCACCTCTTCTTCATCGTCCTCCCCGTCCTCCCGTCTGTCTGCCGCGACCAGCTCCTCTTCCTCGTCCTCTTCTGATTTCATGACGTCGAACGGGTTCAGACCCGGTGGCGCTCGAATGTCTGGAGAAGAGGCGGCTGTAAAAAATATGAAATAGTTTAAGCGGTATGTTGAAATTAAAAAGATCTGTAGAGCAAACTGATGGAGATAAAGTTTGTGTTGATGTTGATGAAAATATTTAATTTTAATTATTATATTCATTAATTTTTTATCAAATGTTTCATATTTATTCAATTAGTTGTATATTTAGTGTACAACCAGATAGTTCCTTTGTTTGTATTTGTAAGAAAATAGTAAAACAATTACTTATTAAAGAACAATAAAATAAAATTAAATAAGATAAAAATAAGAAAGAGATATAGTTTAGAATGAAATAAACCAGAGACAGGCAGGAAATCATCATAGTTTTGAAGCTGGAACCAGAAAGTAACGGGCGTTTGTGCTTGATAAATTACTTAAAAGATGATCAAATTGATGTCAATAAACTTTTCTGACAATCTAAAATAGAGAAACGTGAATTGAACAACTGCTGCTGTACCTGAAGAATGGATGCTTCCACCTGTTGTGCCGTTAGGATCTTTGCTCGCTTTAGGCATCCCACGTTTGATGATCTCAAAAGCGTCGCGCTCAGCTCTGAAACACATTCACATTAGAAAGACATTTTTTAAAACAGTCGCACAACAAAAGAATCAGCGTGTAAAGTGGCTGCAGGTCGTGGACTCACTGGGACTGAGCTGGAGGTGTGCCGTCTCTGTCGTGAGGTTTGGCCTTCACGGCGTCAGCACACTGTGTGATCAGACGCTGCCACCTGGATGAACGGAGGGCGACACAGCGGGATGAGATTCAGGAAGCAGACAACCTGGAGTTTGTGTTTGTGGTGCGACACTTACGCTCTCTGATCGGACACCGTCTGAGCCATCAGCTCGTAGATCTGAGCCCCGTTCTCTGACATGGACAGCACGAAGAAAGACTTGTTGTCTGCAGAGGACATACAGTGCAAACACGGATCACATGACAGTTACATATACGTACGTATTACTAAATATGCACTGTGTACACAGGAGTTAATGAACGCAAAGTAAGAAAAACAGTCAGAAAGAATTGTAGGACTTGGATCACTAAACCGTAAAGATTCAGAACATCACAGTCGTGGTTCTTACCAGTCGCAACCGGACGGACCAGGACCGTGTTGAGCTTGATGACGGGGCTGAAGATGTGTTTGGTGTCGGCGGCGGTGGCCGGATTCTTGCCGTGAAACTTGAGGACGAGGCGCTCGTCCTGTTTCTGCAGTAGAACCAGGATGTCCTCCAGGAGGATTGTGTACAGCTCTGAAAGGACGACACCGGTGTGTGTATAAATACATTAAGGGTACTGCTGTACATACTGTAACATGACAAAGGTGTTATTCATATTTTTGTTTTAATTTCATTGTGTCACAAACTTAATCTGAATATCCTCCCCTTTTTTCAAACACTGGTGAAAAGTTTATACCGTATTTTTGTTTTATGTCATTCTCATATACAGGTGTGTGTGTGTGTGTGTACCAATTGTCTTGTCTTTATTAACTTTCCAGGACAGAGGTCCCTCATGCACCATCTTCCTCTTGGTCAGGTCCAGATTCTGCAGGACAAGAATCAACTCTCAATAAAAAACAAATACAGCAAACAGCTTCCTAAATAAACCTCATGACAAGATATCTTGGTCCTAAATGAGGGGAAGACGTTCATGTTGAGCTCATAACTAACTGGTTTCTTACCCTCAGCTCCAGGATCATGGGGTTTTCATTCTGTTTGAGAGACGAGAGGTCTAATCTTCTCTGATAGTCCTCGAGCCTCTGTTGAGAAACAACACAACTCGTTCAACGCTTTTCAAACCCTGGAATCTAGCACACAAAAAAAAAATGCCACATTTTTTTTTTTTTGCTGATATGAAGTTGGTTTTAATCTTTTTTTTTTAACTGCAGTGTCAATATCACGTGAACCCTAACTGATCTATGTTTTACATTTTGTCCGCTATGATCATCTCCCACATAACATACTGTTTTAGAAGTCTAAAACCATTTGAGATTTACAAACAGACACTAAAAACACTTACAGAACACAGCTCTTAAAAACAGCTATCAGACAGATAGATAGATAAAAGGGATTCTAGTGTTTGTACCTGTTTGTTCTCGGCCTCTTTGACAGCCTGGTTGACGTTGTTGAGGATCTTTTTGCAACATTCGGCAGCTTTCTTCACCTTCAGCCTCTCCTCAGCATCTCCTGCGTGGAGAGAAAGAAACACAACCAGCAGCTGCTTAACGTACGACAGAAACTCCTCCACCCCTTCACCAACATCATGAGCTACAGAGGCCTGCACTCACACCCACACCTGTGCAGTTTTTCTACCTGTGTACTTAGCGATGTTGTCCAGTAGGAGCGGGTACTTGGTGACTCTCTGCATTTCTACAGGAATGATGTCTTTAAGCTGCAGCCTGCGACACAGACGGTTGCTCTCAGCCTCCTGAAAGAAAGACAATAATGTTATCTTCTGCATGAATAACTGTGTTTCCTGTATTTACCTGCATGAATAACTGTGTTTCCTGTATTTACCTGCATGAATAACTGTGT